TCTAGTTGGATTGGTTCCTCTTTGTGTTATGATTGATCATCATTGTTGACTTTGGACACATCTTCCATAGGAAATTCTAAAATATCATCATCATAATCACAAACAACTATATCCTCCTTAGAGGGGTTAGATTCATCAAAGGAAACATACATTGTTTCTTCTATAGTTAAACTTCTTTATTATAAATTCTATAAGTTTTACTAGTAAGAGAGTAACCAAGAAAAATACCTTCTTTAGATTTCTCGTCAAACTTACCGAGATTGTCTTTGTCATTGTTTAATACAAATCACTTGCATCCAAAGATATTAAGTAAGCCATGTTTAGATTTTTTCCTTTGAAGAGTTCATAAGGAGTCTTTTTCAACATTGGCCTTATAATAACCCAATTACTTACATAGCATGTCGTGCTTACCGCATCCACCCAAAAATATTTTGGTAAATTTGAATCACTAAGCATTGTTCTTGCAAGTTCTACTAGAGACTGATTCTTTCTCTCCACCACTCCATTTTGTCGTGGAGTCCCGAGTGCTAAAAAATTGTGAAAGATCCCATGTTCTTTACAAAACTCTTCAAAAGGAGTCTCTTGGAACTCTCCACCATGATCGCTTCTTATAGAGGAAATTTTTGGTGATTTTTAATTTTGTATTTGCTTCGCATACTTCTTGAATGCCTTAAATGCATCACTTTTATGCACTAAAAAGAGTTTCCAACAAAATATAGAAAAATTACCAATAATAACTAAAACATATGCTTCTTTGAAGCTTAACATGAGATTTGTCTTTGAAGCTTCTTGTTCTTGATGGACCAAACAAGTCCGTATGCAACAATTGTAGTAGCCTTGAAGTAGACACCACATTCTTAGGTTTGAAAGTTGATTTGGTTTGTTTTCCCTTTTGACAAGCATCACATAACTTATCTTTGAAAAACTTTATCTTAGGTAAACCAATGACAATATCATACTTGACTAGTTTGTTTAAATGTTCCATATGAATATGGGCAACCCTTTTATGCCAGAGCCATGAGTCATTGTTGTTTACCATGAGACATTTTACTTTCAAAGACAAATCATCTAAAGAAATCATGAAAATATTATTAATTCTTTTACCTTTGAGTTTTAACTCATGAGTAACTTCATCTTAAATCAAGCATTCATCCTTTGTGAACTTGATCTTAAAGCCTTTGCCATAAAGTTGGCTTATAGTTAGAAGATTGTGCTTTAGTCCTTCAACATAAAGAACATCTTCAATGGATGTGAAATTTTGTGCTCCAACTTTACGCATGCCAAGAATATTTCCTTTGTTGGTGTCTCTATAAGTGACATGGCCCTTGGCCTTAAGCACTATATTTGAAAATTTTGCTTAAATCTCCCGTCATATTCTTAGTAGAACAACCACTATCGAGATACCGGAGATTTGAAATGGTTTACAAGCATACCTAAAAAAAATTAGGTTTTGTTAGGTACCCAAATTGTCTTGGGTCATTCATAATTAGTTACTTTCTTGACCCACACATAATGTCCATTTTCCACACTAAAGTTCCTTACATAAAAAGCATTAGGTGTGTGACCAATTATACCACAATAGAAACAAGTAGGAACAAAATTACGTCTATATCTAGGAACATAAGATTTCCTTTTAACAAATCTTTTCCTTTTAGGATAATGATGAGCAATTTTTGTTTTATTCACTTTCTCTTTAGTGGGCTGGTCACTAGCCTTAACAAAGATAGTTTTTTTAGAAATTAGTTTATCAAATTTAGAATAACCAGTACCACTTTTATCATTAGAATACCTTTGTTGACTAAGGACACCATCCAATCCAAGTTTTCCTTTTTCATATCTTTCAAAGACTCTTTTCAATTGGACAATTTGGAAAGAAAGTGACTCACACTCTTTGTATACAAAATATGTTTTTGTTCTTTGTCAAAGTTTTATTTTTTAACTTCAAAATCTTTTTCCATAGTGTCAATTTTTTCTTCAAGAGATAAAATTTGTTTCTTTTGTTTTAACACCGTTTTGTACAGAATTTTGCATCCATTGAGTAATTCATATATAACACCTTGAACATCATTATTATAAAGGGGGAAATCATTACTAACCTCTTCATTTTCATCGTCGGAATGATGTGATGCCATCAAAGTAATATTTGCACATTCTTCACTTTCTGAGTTGGATGATGGACTTATTTCATTGTCATCCCATGCAATGTAGGCTCTTTGTTTGACTTAAGGAGGCTATGGTGATACTCATGGCGGAAAAACTTTCACAAGAAAAGATGAAAAAAAGCTTGGATGAGATGCAAGAGGCCGTGAAGGGAAGCATGCCTATTTATAGCATGCCATATGAATGTTTGATCGTGTAATTGTGGCAAGTATTCAACGTAGATTATGGTGATTGAAAATAAAATCGATTAGTTACCAGATTTTTCAGTATTTTGTGCAATATTCACTAATGTTGGAATTTAATATTCTTGAGGCACAAGTTTGGCTTGGATTTGATTTTAAATTCAACTCTCCAACCTCTTCTAATCGGTTGTCATAACATGCTAACCGATTGGGCATATATGGTTCAACCTTCTTGGTGCATGTTGGGCCTTGTGTTGGATTTTTGACTTTTCTGCACCCCCATTTGTCATTATTTTCACCCATTTTCTATAAAACACTATAAAATAATTTATTGAGATGAGAAAAAAATTTAAATTCATTATTTCAGGGGTTTAATCATAGTTATCCAATTATTTTAACCATAAAATAATGTATAGCTCTTTTATCAATAAATCTTGATAAATATTTTCCTTCGAAGGGAAAACACCAAATATACTATAGTGTATCCTTCTCTACATATTGTTGGAAGTGAGAGTTATAAACAAAAAAAATAAGTACATTACAAACATGTCCATTCATTTGATTATTAGGATTATAAACTTTGAGATATTTTCAAACAATTTGCTTTGATCATAACAGTTGATATTTTCCATTTTCATTCATCCTTAAATCGGATACTTCATAAATATTGTATACTTTAGAAGTGTACTATTGCTTTGCATAACTTCATTAATAATCGTCAAAACCCATAGCTCCAAAGCATACCTACAAAACACTAAGTATTGTATACTTTAGTGCCCATATTTTCTTAGGCCCATGTGCATTAGTCCCAAAAAAATTTAAGGTTATTGACTTTATATCTTTTCAACTTATCAAAACAAAAAGGTTCTAAGTGACCTATTCTCTTACAGTGTGTGCACTTATAAGCCGAACGCTTCTTTTCCTTATGATATATAGCTTTCTTATATCTTATATCCTTTTTGAATCCTAATCCATTTTTATCTATAGAGAATCTTTGACTTGATAAAATCAGGTTAAGATTCTCTTTCCCCTGGGTAAGCTTTCCTAGGGTTTCAGGTAAATCAGTCACTTATTTTATAAGGGAGTCACACCTCTTACATTCTTTTTCTTCCACTAATTGACCACTCTTTCTAAACAGTTTAGCATTCGATGGTTTGGTACCTGGAATAGTATCTTCCTTGTGTGATGCTTTTAAGCATATTTCATCTTCTTTGTTGGAAGAATATTCTTTCATGTTTATCCCCGAGGTTGATGTCTCTTATCCCTTTCCTCATTTGAGTATTGAAGAAACTTCTTATTCTTCTTTGTCGTTCCTTGAACATGAGGTTTATAAATTCGTTATTGAATTTTTCTAAGATCGTTCAACTATTGAGTAAGTTCTTCTGAAGGATTGCATAAGATTTGTATGATATGAGTATGATGAATACAATGATTCTTGAGTTTGTATTCCTTCTTCTTTGAGTAATTGAACTAGTCCGTTCAATTTCTCTATAATTTCCTTCTTTATTGATTTTTCTTGAAATTCATGAAGGCTCTTGTCTTTTGATTTAAAGATTGGATTAAACTTCCAATTATTAATTCTTAGATATTCGTTAGTGATACAATTTCCAACCTACTTTACAATATTCTTAAACTTTGAAGAACATTTGAGAGTGCTATATTTATCTTAATCGCTTCATGTGTTCATCTTCTTTTGTTCGATACTTGGAGAAACTCCATATATCATTTCAAGAGTACCCCAAATTTCCTTGGTGGTTTGACGATGGTGAACATAATAAAGTTTACTATCATCTAGAGATATTATTATAAAGTTATTGGCTTTAAAATCTGTCTCAAATTTTCTCTTTTCCTCTTCGGTCTAAATGAAGTTAGGTTTATCTATTAGTTCATCATTTATTTGATAAGTAGGGATAAACAGACCACTGACTATTGTTTCCCACAACTCATTATGTATGCTTTGTAATAACATTCTAAACCTAGTTTTCCAAATATCAAATCTACTATTATTAAAAATTAGTGGTGTGTTTAGAAAACATCTCTTGTCAAAATTCATCTTCCTTCTGAGATGATTAGTCCTAAAACATGAGTTAGGATTTGATGACACTTGTTGGACATGTGACTTCCCACACAAGAGAGGGGGAGAATTATGTGGTCCCAAAAAACATGGTTTTGAAAAACTTTGTGGATTAATATCAGATTTAAAATGATATTGAACAGGACGACATTGAAATAGAACTCCGATTTTGGGATAATGCCCTAATTCTATATGTTGTGGGAGATGATTTTAGTATGACCACGGTGAAGAATTTTATGCAACGAATGTGGAACTTCATCAAAATACCATATCTGTATTACCATGATGATGGATATTTTCTGCTACGATTTTATTCACAAGAAGACAAGGAAGCTGTCATGATGCGAGGCCCTTACACGATTAGAAATATGCCTATGATACTGAAAGAATGGCAGTCTGGTTTCAACCTGAAAAAGGATCTACTCGGAACAATACCAATCTGGATCAAACTACCTTAACTTCCCCTGCATCTCTGGGGAGCCAAGAGTCTTAGCAAGATTGGAAGTGCCATTGGCAAGCCACTAGTAACTGATGAGTGCACAGCGAACAAGTTGTGTGTCTCATATGCAAGAATATTGATTGAAATGGATATTATACAACCATTGATTGATGAGATAACCATTAGGAATGTTGCAGGAGACACCATAAGCCAACCTGTCCAATACGAATGGCGACCAAAATTCTGTGAGACATGTCAAAAGTTGGGACACAACTGTGAGGACAGAGCCAAGAATCAAAAATGGAAACCAAAGCCAATGGAACCAACCACCTTGCCTCAAAAATGGATGCCAAAACCAAAGCCAATGGAAACAACCACAAACATCACACCTGCTAAACAACCAGTAGGAGGAAACACAAATGATGCAGATGGAGAATCTTGGACAAGGGTGAGGAAACCAACACGAGATAAGAGCAAAAACATAGTGACTGAAACATCAAACATAAATTGTGCCAATGGTTTTAAAACACTTGAGGTTTTGAATGACCACGAAGTGATCACAAACCTTGAACCATGCTAGCTTCACGGAACATAAGGGGACTCAATAAAGTAGGAAAACTTCGAGAGATCAGGTCCCGTCTCCAAGAACTAAAGCCTGCTATAATCATTCTGATTGAAACAAGAGTTAAAGAGCATAAAGCCAAGACCATTAGAGAACAACTGAGAATTTATGACAGTTCCATAGACAATTACAAAGACCATCGAAATGGAAGAATATGGATTCATTGGGACAAAAATAGGGTGAATGTAAAATATATACAAAGCAGCAGTCAATTTATTCATTATGGTGTAGAAGATAACAGTGGAACTTTCAAATTCTGGTTGACTGCAATCTATGGCCAAAACCAATTACAACATAGAAGAACCCTGTGGAAAGAGATACAACATCTTTATGGTAACATTCAAGGCCCTTGGTGTGTCATTGGAGATTTCAACAATGTAATCAAAGCCCAGGAAAGAATAGGAGGAAAACTAGTGACTGAACAAGAATATATAGACCTGAGAAACATGATGGAACATACTAGTTTACATGAAATGGACAGTATTGGAGACCACTTCACATGGTCTAATAAACAAACAGATGGACCAATCTACTCAAGAATTGACAGAGTTCTAGGAAACACTGAATGGTTCATCAATAATTTGGATACAACTTTGAAAATTCTTCCCCCAAATATCTCTGACCATGCCTTGCTTTATCTGGATACTAATGAACAGAAGAAAACCACCAGACATTTCAAATTCAGCAACTGCCTTACTAAAATACCTGGATATGAAGCTTTGACCAATAGGAGTTGGGAAGGCTATATTAGAAGGAGTCCAATGTATATACTATGGCACAAACTTAAGAGGTTGAAACATGACTTAAAAACTCTCAGCAAACCTCTTGCCGATGTAAATCACAAACTGACAACAGCCAGAACAAATCTCAATAATATACAAGGACAGTTGATTGAGGACAAAATGAACATCACTTTGATAAGACAGGCTAAAGAGATGATGGAGGAAGTAGTATCACTGAATGAGCTTGAATGGAAGATACTACAACAAAGGGAAAAAATCGATTGGATTAGGAAGGGAGATAGAAACAACCATTATTTCTATGCTGCTATAAAAACTAAACAGCAAACTAACTACCTTACACACCTGAGAAGGAATGGTGGCAGCCATCTAACTCCCAAAATGACATTGAAACATAAGTGATGGATTTCTACAGAAACTTGATGGGCAAAGAGGATAATAACCTGAGCCACATTGACATTGAAGCCATGAGGTTGGGTGCCCAATTGAACATGGAACAGAGGGAATACCTCAGCAAAAACATCACTAAGGAAGACATCACCAAAGCTCTTAAGGGAATTGGAGACCTCAAAGCACCATGCCTGGATGGATATGGAGCCAGATTCTTCAAGGCCAACTGGGCAACCATTATAAAGGATGTGATTGCAGCGATTAATGAGTATTTTGAGACAGGTAGAATGTACAAACCTTTCAATAATGCTATTGTTTCCCTGATTCCAAAAAGCAATAAGGCTTGTGAAATTAAGGACTACATACCTATAGTTGTCTGCACCACTTTCTACAAGATCATCTCCAAGATCCTGACTAACAGACTAGGGACTGTACTACCTAATGTGGTGAGCCACAACCAGGCTGCTTTTGTAAAAGGCCAGAACATTCACAACCACATCATGCTTGCTACTGAACTGCTAAAGGGCTACACTAGGAAAGGGGGCACACCCAGAATTATGATGCAAATAGACCTCCAAAAAGCATATGACATGGTCAGCTGGCAAGCTTTAGAATCTATTATGAAGGAGATGGGAATTCCCCGTAAGTTCATCCAATGGACCGTGCTAGGCATCACCATTGTATCCTACTGTTGCACCCTAAAATTTGCTCAACCTTATTCACTTGGTTTATGTTTCAATATCATTAGCATTTGCATATAGAGTCATGTACATAGTCTAACCATCTGCATATCATAAGCATAGCAAGTCATCCAACAGGGGACCAATCATTATTCTCATCTCTATGAGCCTATCAAGAGGTTATTATTCAAATTCAATCCCATTCAAGTCATCAGAAAAAATTTGAAAGCTGAAAAGTCAATGGGTCAAGCAGGGCATCTATCTCCTATCTGAGGGTATCTGAGGATCAACAAAGAAATTGTGAGATGTGGGCTAAGCATGGATAGTATCTGGGCATCATGGGAGACTTAGAAAGTCATTTGGAGAAGGAGACAAGTCATTGGTATGATCACAAGAATTGCAGTTGGAGACAGTCAACTAGGGTTTCATCTAGGTCAACTCTAGGTCAACTCTAGGTCAGATGACTGATTGAAAGGCACTAAGGGCTATGGGAGAGATGTGGGGTTCATCATTTGACATGTAGAGAAGGATATGGTGATATGTCAAGAAGAAATCAAGAGAAATCAAGGAGAAGAGGAGTTTCTAAATTAGGGTTTCTGTGTAAAAATCCCCTAATTTAGGTCAAATTTCCAAGCAAGATAAGTCAAAATGCAAGCTTCAAATGGATCCTTGGCCAACATGAAACTTGTAGAGGATCTCAAGACCTTTAATTTGAGTGGTGGAATACATCAAGGAGATTTATAGAACTCAAGTTATGGTTCTTGCAAGTTACAGGTCATCTGAGGCATCTGAAATTTTGTCTGTGAAAGTGACTTGACTTCCAAGCTATTTACCCCTAAAGGAGATTTCAAATGAATTTCTGGTAAACATAAGAATTGTTACTCACTGTCTTAGCTTTCTAGAATGGTATAGTATGCTTTCATATGATTTGTGGAACTCTACTTATAGTCTTGGCAAGCAAAGGGTATTTTGGTCATTTGAGAATTACAGGTCATTTCAACCTATGCCCAAAACTCCTACAAGGAAGCTTCAAATGAAAAAACTTATAACATAAAACTTGCTCCAAATGACATTTTGAGTCTAGAAAAGTGACCATGAGAGATTGGAAAGATTCATAGCACAAGGTTTCAAAATTGTTGGATTTAATGAATAAAAAAGGACTTAAAAATGAGATTTTTCATATTTTGGCCAAATGGGACAAAATTATAGGTCATTTTGAATGGAAAAATCATTTTGAGAACATTGGCTAAAGTGGAATTTTGAGTTTAGTTCAAATTTTGAGAGTTATTCAAGGTTACTTATAATGGAAGATACATAAGCCAAATCCAAGGGAAATCATACAAGGGAAGTTTCTCCAAGTTTCTAGGAGGTTCTAATGTCATGTATATATTGGTATGAAGAGGTTCATGCAAGGGTTGGTGATCACATTTGTTCAAAAACACAAGTTCCACACACTTTTTCCAATTTGCAAAATCAATTCAAACTCTCTCAAATTTCCATCAATTTACACCATTCTTGATCTGATCATCATCATCACCATCCAAGGATCATAATTCACATAATCATTTGGTAAATTGAAGGAGGATTCGTGCCATTCATCATCATCATTCAAAGTGCAAGAATTTTGGAATTGGAAGATTCAAAGTCTTGGAGCATCATTGGTTGCATACAGAACTCATCATCAAGTTCTTGGATCACTTTCCAATCATTACAAGCCTTGGATCAGCACATTCCATAGCTGTTTTCTTCACCTTGCACCAAGTAAGTTTTTCATTCGAATTGCATGTTTTAGGTAGAATTACTAGGTTTGGATAGCATAGAAAGGTTAAGGTAGGATAGATGACTGAGTTTGGTGAGTTTGGAGAGCTTTCATGGAGTTTGATCATGGAGTGCAAGATCTGTTTTGATGAATAACTCTTGGAATATTGCATGAGAATATTAGGTTATTAGCTTGTGATGATCAGCATAATGTGTAGAGTATGTTAGGGCAAGAATTAGGGAGAATTGGAGAGGTCGATATCAGTTGAAAATGGTGGAACCTAACTGTTATACTTATCGAGTTTGGAGTTTGGCTGAGTTTTAGAGGGAATGATTGGCATGGCTATGTAGAGGGATTGTTCTAGAGCAATTTTTCTCTTGGAAGTGTTTGATTTCGTGGGGAGATGAGGGAGAACAGAGAGCTCGAAAATCATGCATGGAAGAAGAATTTCAGAGCTAGGGTTTGCTGGAGGTTGAAGATAACATGAGGACCACACGATCTTGCTTTGAATATTGACTTGGCTTCCAATCCAACGGCCACGATTTGATTTGAAAACGGAGGGAGATTTGAATGGTGCAACGCACCGTTTCATTTAAGTTTTCTGAATGGGCTCAACATTCGCTTGCTTTTGACACCCCTCTAATCAAGCCCAATCCCAATTATGCCTGAAATAACTGCTATTCACACCGTTTTCCTTTTTTTAATTTTTGTTGGCTTTCTGATGCTTCCTGGGCCTCGCGCACATGTGATATTTGCACCCCACTACCTGGCCCATCCGTCTATTTTAACTAATTGTTTTACTTTCTGCACCCTGCATCCATATTAATTCATTTTATTTTCTTTTAAAAACATTAAATCTTCAAAAAATCATAACAAATCATAAAATGCTTATTTTTCATTGGTTCTTTTTGAATTCTTTTCATAATTTTGCCAAGAAAATTGTCATACAAAAAAATTAATAATTAATTTCATTTTAATATTTTTGGCATATTTTTCTTTTAATTAGGTGTAAATATTGTTTTGTTTAGTATATGATTTTGTTAATTTTAGTTTGACCAAATGCTTTAATATTTTTAACCCATTCTTTTTAGGTTGGTTAGTAGATATTGTTAGATTGTATATGCAATTTAGTTCATATTTTTAGGAATTAATTTTAGGTGATTAGTTTAGGTGTGAATAACATGAACAAAATTAGGGTTTAAGTGATGACTTAGGAGAATTGAATCATTTCCCTTAGGATTTAGAGATTGAAAGTTTGGGGTATGGGACTATAGGGACTATGGGTAGTTATTAGATCCCTTAGAAATTATTAGGATTCCCCTACTGCTATTATTACTGTCTATATTTGTTTGACTGGTGTGGTGTGCCCTCTCTGGGGATTATAATTTGCCTGTGTGGGTATTGGGATTGCCTGGGAATTGGGAGAGCTGAAGACTTGTGATGATGAAGCCATTGGAGATCCAGAGACTGAAGACCAACCTCCAGAGTTGAAGAGGAGATTCTTGCTAGCAGCTGGTGAGGAGACTAGGGTTTAGGAGCTAGGCAGAGCTCTAGATTAGAAAGCTTGTTTCTCAAACATGGAATGCCTTGTCTGCATCCATCCTTTCTCCATGATTCAAAGTCTCTTTCAAATATCCACCTCCTTCCTTTGGAAGGATCAGTGAATGTATTTGAAAGATAGAACTTTTGAGGGAAAAATTATCTGTATGATGTTAACAGTTGATGAACCACCCTTGGTAGGTAATTGACTGTCTAACATTCATTCACTTCATCTGATTGACTGATATTCCTCCTGGGAGTCTGAGACTTGAAGAAAAGCCATTGTAGACTAAAGATTGATGCCAAAGACCTTGCTTGAAGGCTGTGGAAATGGAGATTGATGCTTGCTGAAGCTTGTAGCTGATTGGAGATGACTTGAAGATAGGTGTTGATGCAGAGCTGTTGTGGCTGTTTATTTTTGCTGTATTTCATTTCTGATGTATTGATTGGTTTTCCCTGACTGTATTGTTTGCAGTTTAACTTGTTGGGTTGAAAGTGAATCCTGTTCACTTTTGCCTATTGTTTTCTAGGTTCGAGGTTGAGTGGGACTCCCTTGCCTCGCTTGTATTGCTGCATCCATGCATTTTACTACTTTACTGTATACTTGCTATTGTTGTTGTTTCCGTCTATCCCCTTAGGATCTCTGTTTCTCTCTGTACAAGAGAGGAGCATGATAGACACTAGGTCTTAACCCATGCATGATAACATTAGGTTAGTTCAATTCCCTCCGCAACCGTAGGTTAGAGTTCTGTCTCTTCTTTCTCAAAACAAACAGAAAAACACAATAAGATTTCAAACACAATAAAAGACATTTCTTCCGTAAAAGAATGTGAACTCATCAAGACGTCATTTTTGTCCGCTTGGACTGTAATCAGAAAAACCCTTTTTCAGAAGGAATAAAATCAACCAAAACAGACTTGTGTCGTACGTGGCCCGAACTACGTTTGCTCTGATCTTTCATGTTGTATGAAAGTACGTAGGCATAGGATGCGATATCCTAGCGAGCAACCTTCCCCTCCTTTCCCGTAGGTAGGCGAACTACGTTGACTCTGATTTCTCGTTTCAGACGGGAATACGTAGGCATAAAGTGCGATACTTTGCCGAGTCATTTTCTTTTCTTTTAACCCTTAACCCTTAGTTTAGATAGAATAACAATCTGTACCAGAAAACAAGCGTGGATCCCGTCGAGTACGACGGACGTGAGGGGTGCTAATACCTTCCCCTTGCGTAACCGACTCCCGAATCCAGGTTTTGGTTGCGATGACCATACCTTTCCCGTGTTGTGCGAGGTTTACTCTGAGCGTTTCCTTTCCCTCCGTTGGGATAGATAACGCACGGTGGCGACTCTTCTGTTCAGCCGACGCCGATTTTCGCAGTAGCGACACCTACAGACTCAACATCATGGGAGAATACACTGAGGTGTTGCCGGCAAAGCATGGAATTCGACAGGGCGATCCTCTCTCACCCATCCTTTTTGTTCTTATGATGGAATATTGAACCGACTATTGATCAAAATGCAAAGAGATCCAAACTTCAATTACCATGCCAAATGTGAAAAGTTAAAAATTACCAACCTCACATTTGCAAATGATATACTGCTGCTCTGCAGGGGGGACAAAACCTCATTGGAAATGATTTTAGAAACCTTTCGACAGTTCTCCAACTCCACAAGACTGCTGATGAATCCCAACAAATGCAAAATTTACTTTGGAGGTCTGGATATGGAAACCAGACAAAATCTGAAGGAGCTGTCTGGCTTCCAAGAAGGGATGCTTCCTTTCAAATACATGGGAATCCCCTTATCAAGCAAGAGAATCACCATCAACCACTTTATGCCCCTGGTGGATAAAATAGTTGTTAGAATACACCATTGGTCCTCCAAACTACTTAGCTACGCAGGAAGAGTTCAACTAGTCAAAAGCATCACTTATGCAATGGCACAATACTAGATGCATTGCCTTCCCATACCCAAATGCGTGATCAAGAAAGTAGATGCAATTTTCCGAAGTTTCATTTGGACTGGAAAAGATACGGTGAGCAGAAAATGCCCGGTGGCTTGGAAAACCGCCTGCAGCCCAACTGCTCAGGGTGGGATGAACATCCTAAATCTTCAAACCTGGAACAACGTACTCCTATTGAAATGTCTATGGAACCTTTGCAACAAAGCCGACACATTGCGGGTCAAATGGATCCATGCGCACTACCTAAAAGGAAAGGATATAATGACATATGTAACCAAAGCTCATAATTCATGGATCATACGGGGCATCCTGAAACAAAGAGAATACATGGACAAGATCCGGAAGGAATGGAACCAAGCTATGACCACACACAACTTTAAAGCCATAACTTTTTACAAGGTACTCATTGACAATGGCACAAGAGTACCATGGAGAAATCTGATCCGATCCAACAAAGGCCAACTGCGAGCGGTATATTGTCTATGGCAAGCTTGTCATGGGAAACTTGCAACCAAAGATAGATTGAAACGGTTCGGGATGATTGAAGATAACATATGCAGTTTATGCAAAGCTGAAGAAGCAACGTTAAATCACATGTTTTTCCAATGCCCCAGAACAAGACACATATGGAAGGAAACCCTCGAATGGTTTAACATTCAACATAAACCCCAACAATGGGAAACATAACTGATATGGATCACTGATCTCACAAAGGGGAAGGGATTGAAGGATGACATTTTGAAGATGCTAACAGATGAAACCGTCTACAGCATATGGAGTTATAGAAATAGTATTATTTTTTAGAACAGTGTAGACAATACAAACATGGTTACAAAAATCATAGATAATGTGACTTATAGAGGTTGGCAAAACAATAGGATTAGAAAACACCTCATTAGTTTTATGATGTAATTGAGTCTGTTTGGTGGGTTGGATACTCATCTGGATCATCGTTTTTGTACTTGACTTGTTTTTGAATTAATATATTCTTTCTTTGATTCAAAAAAATATCAGATTTAAAAAACATTTTGAAAATGTTTAAGTATTAAGGAGTGGAAAATAAAATACATAATATAAATTGTGGAAAATAAAGAGTTAAGGGAAAGAAAGTACACTAAGAATCATAGAGGTTTAGTCAAGCAAAAAAATGACCTATTCATTTTCCCAAGAGTTGATCTTGAGAGTATTCAATAAACTTTTAGAGCTTTTCATAGGTAATACTCATGAAGCCCCTTATACAAGGAAAATTGTTGACTTCCAACCAAAACAATAGGACTTGGAATTTAATAGTTTGAGTTTTCTCTTCCAAATGGTGGATTCAAGCATTTAGTCTTCTTTCCATAAATGGTATATCAAAGCGGTTAGTCTATATTCCACAAGAATCTTTGAGTGGTTAGTCTTCGAGCTTCTATATAAAATTTGTAAGCTTTTACCATGGGCTGAACTCGCGAACTATTAAACCTTAGTTTTATACGGGCTGACCAATAACCTGGGAGATTTTAATATTGGGATAATCTCCAACCTTATCCAAGCTTTTATAACGGCCTAAGTTTTAACCTAACATTAGTTTTACCATTGGATAACCAAGAACCTATGGGATTTTACCACGGGCTAATCTCGAACCTAAATAAAGGGCTTGATCATACAATCCCCAAACCAAAAGATTTTTCGGGTTTAGCTTCAAATCCAGACAAATTCTAAATAGATATTATTCAACCAATGTGTATACAAAATATTCTCTTGATGAATTTTACAATTCTACCCTTCTAGAATTACAACTTATCCTCACTCATAAAAAAACTTTGTCGCAAAAGCATTTCGACTAAAGTATTAGTGAAAGAAAGTAAAAGAATTTTTTAGAGAGAGAGAGAGAGAGAAAGAAGTGTCAAAACACGATTCAGGATGAAATGATATTAGGGAATGAGCCTGTATTTATAGATTAAAGGTTGACTAAAAAAGGAAATTAATTTTCATACTTTTTAAGACAAGATAATCAATTAGAGCCTAATGATAATCGATTAGAAACTTTAAAGGTAATTGATTATCAGTTTAAAAAAGGAAATAAAATATATATATATAGTCGTTGTACATTATTAAGGTGTTGTCGTATTCTCTTAGAACTTAATTTTGAACTAATCTAATCAATTAGATAAATGTCCCAATTGACTAGACAAAATAAAACTTTACCTACATCAATTCTGACTGCTCCCAATTCATCTGACACAACTTTAAGACTCTTACGGGAATGCTCTTTTGCTTTTAGAAAACATTCACTCAAACTAAGGTAGGACTTTGTTGCGCTTCAAGACTTTGTCAAATGCTTTCTCTTGTAGATACTTGCTTGATTTCACTTTGAGACGGGGCTTGAGCTTATATTTAATTTAGGTTACCATCATTAGATAATCAAGTCCATCAAATCCTGATAATTAGGTTTGCATATTTATCCGCTTAATCACCTATGCTTGACTTGTTAGAAGACACTAGTTGATATCGTCAATTGGTTGTCATTATTAGCTGTCATCATCAAAAGTTGTCATCATTATTAACAACATATCACATTGATTATCATTATTAGGCGCCATCATAAAAAAATGTAGTCATTGTTAAAAGTGTATCACATGTATAATAAGGTTCTACAGTTAAGCACATGTCAAAAACATATATTTTATGGATTTTATTAAGAGACAACAATTTAGGTCATAAAGCAATTCATGTTCAGGTTTAATCATCACTAAACCAATAATTAGTTCAAAAAAAGCATACGCTAGATAATGATTTTTTGTAAGAACAAACTTTATATCTAGACATAAGGAGCAACTATTATTTTTAATTTAAGTTACTATAGATCCAAGGCAAGAACATAATACAAACTCAACACCTCATCCACATCAGACTCAAGGAGGAATAATTTGAGAAGCAAGCTAAAAGCAATATGATAAGTCCAAGTTGTTTATTTTGTCTATTTATTATACTTATGTGCTTATGTAGTCTCGTGTATTTTACACGTAATCAGTTGTGGTTCATGCTTGTGTTATGACTTAAGAACAACTTACCCATAAGTATAACTTGAGTTCTAATTATAGTATTGTCATGTTTAATTAGTTTCTTAATATTATCTATTGTAGCAAATTATGTAAGTACTTAGGCTATTGAGACAAATTTGGTTCATACCCTATATTCCTTAAAGTTTTGATGATAACAAAGTATTTGAAAAATAATTAGGATTTCTAACTAGCAGATTCTTGTATGCAGAATTATATTTACTTAATGAAATTGATTCTGACACAGAAGTAACTTTGGTTCGGTTTTATTTATACACTCGTGAGAGAGTATGATAAAAAAGTTATTACTAGTACATTTCAGAATCAGAAGCGTATTGTGGCTGCCTCTAAAATTGAGTAGTGTCAACTCAAGCTCTACTAACATGGGACTCGAGATATGTTGATATTATCTTCAAAAGATTATGTTGTACTTATTTCGTAGAAGTGTTCTCCGAACAAAGACCTTGTTTTGTGGATAAGTCCTTGACTATGAGTTCCAACACATGCTTTATTGGAAAAGAAGATGTATTAGAAGATTTGATCTGATTATAGTCGTTGAGGATACCTCAACAACTATATTTCTTCAGCTATAAAAGGAATGGAAGATACGAAGATCAACTTAAGAAATAACGCTGCAACTACAACTAAGATATACATACACTACATTCATATCAGCTCAAGAGAAGCTAATCTGTAAAAATAGTTCTTATTTTTGTATAGCTTAAGAATCCTTTGTGTAAAAGTGTGTTGTATTATATTTTACACCTCTGATTGTTAATCAAGTGTTGTTGTAAGTTATTCCTTCTCTAAATAGTCAATTTAGATAAAAGTCTCTTGCCTTGGGATTTAGCAATGAAGTCTTGGATTGCGAATCTGGGCAAAGAAGTCTTAGACGGTGTGTCTGAGCAGAGAAGTCTTAGGCAGATGTCATACCCCAAATTTGTCCTACCTTTTAAAAAAATTTATTTATTTGACTTTATTTTCAGTTTGCATCGCCTGCATAGCATAGCATACCCTTCATCGTGAAAATTTTCTAAAGTGGTCAGCTAGAATGAATTCTTGGATATACAGACCGGTTGAATTATTTCTCAAATATGAAAAAAAATCAATGGTTGTAAAGTTTCAAATTTAATCTTACAAACATCAGTGATATTGATCTACTGTTCGCGTAGTTTAACCTGACGCGCTCGTCTTATTTTTAGACGACTTTTCAGTCACATTTTAATCCGTCTAAGCCTTCTTACCAGTCCAAACTTATCTCAAAAAATTTCCAATATATTTATTTTACCCTGATCATTATAATGTATTCAGTTTAATTTTTCGGGCATTTTTTTTGTCCGACTTTTTATTCATTTTTAAAATCAATTTGTTTCTAATTTTTTAGTCAAAATAGTCTTCGAATTTAATTAAGATTAATTAAATAATTAGATATTTTAAAATTTATTTTAAAATTTCTTATTCATCAAGTTTTAGAGAAAAAAACATATTTAAGCATTTTTATTTTATTTTAGAAACTATTTTATTTTTTTCTTATATATACATACATGTCCTTTATTAATTAGGAAGAAAAAAAACATTAGAAAAACAATAAATTAAAAATTAAAAAAAAATCATTTTGGAAAGAATTAAAAAAGGAATAGAAAATTAAAATAATCATTTTAAAAGGGAGGAGATCATTTCTCTCAAGGAGAATGGTCTCTCATTTGGAAAGAAAGAAAAAACCTAAAAAGAGAAAAAGAAAAAAAAACGGTGTAGAAAGAAAACAGGGTTGTTGTCACTCACGATCGATCGCTCTCAATCTCAAAAACACCATATGGTTCTCCGCGCTCAACTCTCTTTCTCTCTCTCTCGACAAATTCATTATGCACGACCACCCTCTACCACCGTTTTCACATTCACACGACAAAGGTGATCACGACTCAGGTATCGATTCGATGGGATTCTACACTGATTGTTAGCTGCTCACAATCCATTCAAGAGGTTCAAGGTTTGGTTTCGTCCCCGACTTCAACTTAGAGGTTAGATTCGAATGAAAACCATTCACAGTTCATATTTGGGCATCGACGCAACCACACGACGGATAACAACGGTTGCGGCAGCCTAGAAGCAACAACACAATAAAAACAAAACAATGGTAGCACCTTTTGGTAAATTCTCAATTTCGAATTCTTTCTATTATTGTTATTGATGTTATTGCTATTGATCATTGGGTTGTGTTGATTGTTGTTATGATTGTGGTATACCGTATGTAGTAAGGCTAGGTCAATTCTGATTTCATTACATTATGTGCCATTATCGTCTTGTATTTGAGTTATGTAAATACAGTGTGGATTTATTGCTATTCCAATTTTGACCATATTAAGGAGTCGGTTTTAGTTTGATTTCAATCGCATATCTGCTTTGAATTTAGTTATTTCTATCAAAATTATTGTTATATTCTAGTGGGCCAAGATTCCTTTTTAATTACAGTTGTTTTTTTTCCCCTGCTATTAGTTACAAGGCACGTGACACCCCTTTGGTTCACATTCTTTTCATGATTTCTTTTCTTCTTACCGTATGACACCTGTAGGATGGTTATAATCTGCACAAGATGTGTGCCTAGGTGGCTATATATATCGCTCTTTGTACCTTTCCTTTTCATCAATC